ATAAAAATTATTATTCAGCAGTTTAGTGTAATAATTTTTTTAACAGTTAAATAATTTTATATTTGCCAATATAATTAAAAGTGTAGCAAGTTTTTGTTAAGAGTTCAATCTTATCAAAAACATTTACATTTAAATCGGCGCTCTTTTAATTTTTTTTTTTGTTTAGTCGAACGACCATATCTTTTAAAAAGCAGTTTATAAAAAAAATGCAGTTGAAAAAAAATTTTTTTTTTTTTTTTTTTGATGGCTTAGTGTTTTCCATTTTAGTTACAATGATCCGGGGCTGTAGGAACAAAAATTATATAACAATTTTAAAAAGTAGGTTGTATGTAAAATTATACTAAGGTTTTTTCGGTTTTAATCTTTTCGTTTTAAGAACCTGCTACCGCTATCCACTGATCTCAAAATAATAACTGGATAGCGCATTCGGAAAAATTTTTGAAGCCAGTTTTGGCCTACCAAGATGGCGGCGTAGTTTGCCAACGGTTATAGAAGTACCGTTTAAAAAATCAAAAAACCTTAAGCGTAATCGATAAAGATAAAATTTTAAACACAAATAAGGTTTTTTTTTTTTAAAAAAAACAATTTTTAAAAATAAAAGTAGGTATATATATAATATATATATATATATATATATATATATATATATATATATATATATATATATATATATATATATATATATATATATATATATAATATATATATATAAAATATATTTATACATATTCATAAAAAATATATATACATTGCTTAATATGAATATTATTTATCCTAATATATATATAATATATATATATTAGGAAAAATAATATTTATATTATGCAATATTTATATTATGCAATATATATATATTTTTTATAAATATGTATAAATTTATTTTATTATAAGATAAATAAAATCCTTCAAAAAAATTTAATAACCAATTTATGTACCTTTTAGTTCTTAATTATCTTATGCTGTGTGCTAGAAGGTTAATAACACAACTGCATGATAGGCAGCTTAGTATCTGTTTAATATGAATTAGTCTTAAAAAAAAATTGTTTTAAACAGATACTTGTAATGTATATATGCTGCATGAACTATTAGCTGAGCTCTGTGAGTACACACAACTCAGAGGTTCCTTCTAGAGTTTGTTATCATTAATTATTTTAGTTTAATTTTAATAGATTTTTCTTTTAATACAAATAAATATACTTACTATATACACACACATAAATATACTCACCTAGTACATTTAAGTGAGTATATATATATATATATATATATATATATATATATATATATATATATATATATATATATATATATATATATATATATATATATATATACATATATATATGTTTTGTGGATATACCATCAAGGTGTTTAATGAACAGAGCTATAATATAGAAAATAATAAAACTATGTGTTGCAATCATCGGGTGAAATACTTTTCATTTTTATTTCACCTGATGATTGCATCAGCATGAAACTTAATGTTGTAATGTTGTAAAATTTGCATGAAATTCGTTTTATTTTCTACTATATATATATATATATATATATATATATATATATATATATATATATATATAAATAAATGTTTGTATGTATATTATATATATGCATATATAATTCCTGATAAGTTGTAACCTTTAAGTGTCGGAGGAAATACTGGAAGTTCAATTTTTTAAAGGTTTGAGTTATCAGGAGTTTACTGTGTATATATCGATGACATAGTGCACAGATGTGGTAAGTGCAAGATTAAAACTGTAGAAACTGTCATTTGTGCGCGTAATTATAATAAGAAGAGTTTTTGTATTTACCACATTGTCAATTATTAGACTCTTTATCGTTTATCCTACACATACCATATTTATTCACAATAAACTATAAATAAAAACAGGTTTTTCTGTGTACTTATCTCAATTTGACCAAAATTTGTACTTACCATATCTGTGCACTAAAATGGTATACTAAAAACAAATGTTTTCATTGATTTTTGAATAAGACAAATTTAATCAACTGCTTCCTAAACTTTTTTCCAGTCAATTTGTTAGTTACTTCTTTGCATTGGTGATGAAAGTGTATTTTTCAGTAATTTTTTGAAATAACTTTAATCAATGAGAATAAATGCTTATCAGTTAAAGACGAATCTAGCATATGATGAGTTAGTTCTGTGAATACTTTTGATATATCAACTGATCTCAAAACAACACTTGCATTTGCATTTTTAATTCCTATATCATTAGGGAGGGTAATATTTGTTGATGTAAGAAACCTTTGGAAACATCTTTCTGTTCCTTCGCATACCAAAACACTTTTGCTTGGTTTAACTAAACCTCCTCTAGAGAATTTATTCTCAATAAAATGTAACATACATATGTTACATCTTTACATACTATGTATGTGTTAAACTGTCAATAATTATCCTTCAAACTTTGAGGAATAATTATTCACAGTTGAGTTTGACAAGAGTTAGACTTTAAATCTAAGTCATTGAGAGATAATTTTTTACTTTGGAATATAAATATTGTTTTATATTTTCACTGAATATTGAGTCCAGAAAGTTAATGCATTAAATAATAAAATGACTTTTATAATCCTAGAAGGAACCTCTGAGTTGTGTGTACTCACAGTTCTCAGCTAATAGTTCATACAGCATTTGTACAATAATGTTTCTACCTACAAAACTCATGATTTTAAAAGATAATTTTTTACTTTGGAATATAAATATTGTTTTATATTTTCACTGAATATTGAGTCCAGAAAGTTAATGCATTAAATAATAAAATGACTTTTATAATCCTAGAAGGAACCTCTGAGTTGTGTGTACTCACAGTTCTCAGCTAATAGTTCATACAGCATTGGTACAATAATGGGTCTACCTACAAAACTCATGATTTTAAATTTCTTTAAAGATTGTAGGTAGACATCGTTGCTGCTTACCATACAGTTGTGTTATTAACCTTCTAGCACACAGCATTGGGTAATTAAGAACTAAAAGGTACATAAATTATAAACCTCATTTAAAAAGTGTATACTAGCTGAATATTTTAATAATTAGGAATCAAATAAATTTATTTCGCCATCTTATTTTCCTTAAAAATAGTTTACTTTTCTTATTCGGTCAGAATTTTTATACGATTCAAACCGCTAACAGTTCTAACCGACGCCATCTTGGTAGGCCAAAATTGGCTTCAACTTTTTTTAAGAAAAACAATAGAATACGCTATCCAGTTATTATTTTGAGATCAGTGACCGCTATCGTGCATTTAGAAATCGGTTGCGATGGTTACAAAATCATATTATAAGCGAAACGTTTGTTTTCAATATTTACTGTTTTTTTTTTCGAATTTATTAAAAGATTTTTTGAAGTTCGATGATCGAGTTTTAAATTTATAAAACTCACTTTTCCATTTATTTTCTTAAAATGCTACGGTATCATTTTGTTATCATTGTTTATTAAAATTCACACTGGTAACAAAACTTTTTAAATTTTGTAAGTATACTTCAGTTATATAATCAATTTTTTCTTTTCATTTAAAAAGTTTATGTTTTGGAACTAAAGTAGAATTGTTTTAAGGCGATACGACGACAATGACCTCTTGAATATAATTATGAAAACAATTTTTTTTTTTTCATTTTTGTTTATTTTGTTGATATATTTAGTAAATTTTTTTAAACAAAAAAAATGCAAGAAAAAATAATATTTAAATTTAATATTTTTGATAATAATTTGATTTCAAGATATAAGCTGATTCTATTCTAAGACTGTAATTTCAAGCGAATTTAATTTTATTCGTTTCATTCGATTTAATAAACATGTAAAATATTCCCACAATATAGTTCAATAATTTGTAAATCGACAGTTCGTCCAAGTTTTAATACTCCTGTGACACTATTGCCATTAGTAGCTTTTTTTATGTTCTCACCGTAAGTTAAATTTTCTCATTAGAACTTGTGTTCATTTGGTCACTCATAAAGAGAAATATTAATTTTATAAAATGATAGTGAAAATAAAACTTTTCTTTAAAATGCCTGTTACATGAATTACAAAATTTTAAAACAAAATTTTATTTGTCTATCCAAAAAACATGCATTCGATATAATTTGTATAAAAATTTAAATTTGATTTAAATAGATTATTGGTTCTTCTTAGCTGCGATAGTTGCTTTTTTTTATATTATAATAATATGTTTTTGTAGCCTTATTTAAGAAGCGCTAATTGCATCAAAATTTAATTTATGAGTTGTATAAAAGATGCATTTTTTCATTGATTTTCTTCAAAGTTTCAAATCGAATCGAATCACCAAATATTTGAACCCTCACTCTTTGACGTTTTATCATATTTATTTAATTAACTTATTTTAAAAAAGATTGTCGAAGGAGATTTTCGATGTAAATTTTAAATTTGAACAAGTTCTGTAGGAATTCGGTTTATAAATACATTGAGTTCTTTACAAATTTGCATATAAATAAAACAGGTTTTCCTTTTTATCTTCTTATATAAAAAAATGATGATATTTATTTCGAATGACAATATGAATAAATAAAGCATTTTTTCTAAGTTAAACATATTTTTAATCTGTTTTATGTTATTTTAAGTAAAAAATATATTTTATATTTGTATGTTATTGGTTATTAAAAATTATAAACACAACATTTTTAATGAAATTTATTAATATAAAAATTATGTTCAAAATAATAAAATTACTAATTTTTTATAATTTTTATTAAAAAGTTATTTTGTTTAAAAGTTTTATTAAGTTTTATATATAATTTCATTTATTATTAATGTAATTATGTTTATTATATTATAATATAAATATAATATATTTATTAATAATATGAAAATGTATTCAATTTTTTATTTAATTATAGTGTATTAATTATATTTGTATATAGAAAAATAATAATATTATATGTATAATATCACAATTTTGATTATTATTTTATTTTTTGTTTCTTATTTATTTGTTTATTGTTATATTTCACATTTAATTTTTCTTTAGATCGTTTATCTAAAAGTATTATTAAAGGTTATTCTTATGATGAATTCAATTTTTTCTACGAATGTTTTTACGAAAGTCAATCGTCATTCACTGATGAAATAAAATTAATTGTTGATGAACTAAATAAACGAAGGAGTGGTTGGACGATTTGGATTGACGATGGAAAAACTTCTTACGCAACTTCTTGCGATAATTATTTCGTAAATTATTACATAAAATCTGGAAGAAAGTTAAAGTGGTTAGGTGTTAATAAAAATATTTTAAGTGATGAAGAAAAAAATCTTTTAATTCGATGTTCAACTAATGTTCGCAATGTCTCCTTTTATCATCCAATTAATTTCGAAGGATGGAAACTGAAAGATAAGATTGAAGTGTTGTACATCTCAGATTATTTAATAACAAAAAAAGATTTTGAAGAAAATTTTTTTCCTTGGATTAATCTTTGTGAAGAATTAGATCTTGAACTTCACGACGACATTGATTTCTTTAAAGACATTTGTGAATGGATTCGTTGTTCGAACATCAAGAAGTTTAAGATCAGATACCGTAGAAAAGACTTTTGTAACCTCGATGAATTAACTTTATAACGCGGGAAATTTTAAATATATAAAATAAAAACAATAATTATAACATAATAAATGAAATATTTAATGTATTTTTAAATAGTAAAAAAATAAAAAATTAAATTATTTAATTTATTTTTTTATAAATATATTTGCTTTAAATATACGAAATAATTTAAATATATTGGATATAAATAAAAAAGTTCAATATTATATTATTATATTATTCATATTTATAATTAGTTCTTTTTAAAATAAATTAGTTAAAATAGTAATTATATAAACTATTAAATATATAATTATATTTGTGGTACATAGTTTTTCATAATTAGTATTTTTTTAACATTTTTAATAATAATAATAACATTAAACTATAAATAATAATAATTTATATTAATCTTTATTTAAATATATAATTTTTATTTATAAACTTTGTTTTTTTATATTTTTATATTTTCATAATTATATCATAAATTTTAATGATTTTGATAATAATTATAATATATTTATTCTTTTGTAACTATAAATATTAAAATATAATTAATATCAAAAAGTGTTAATTATATAAAATACTAAAATTAGATTAAATATACTTTTACGGTAATTACCTTTTTTCTTATTAAATTAATAATAAATATTTTTTGACAATATTTTTTCTTTTTTTACTGCAATATTTCTTTATTATATTCAACCTTCGTTATTATACATGATGTTTACGATAAACTCATGAGTTTTCAGGTTTATTGAAAGTTGATGAAATTTAATTTTATATTTAAAAAAATAAAATTATATTCTGCACATTTATGATAATATCAATTATTTTTGAAGTGTAAAGTATTCGCCATTTTTTTTTTAAGATTTTCGTTGACAACAAAACAAAAAAATTCGAAACTTAGCTAATTTTTTGTTTGGAGTTTTTTTGTTCGAAAGTTAAATTCATATAACTTTTGCTTATTAGTAAATCAGACATTAGGTTTTATTTCGATTAAACTTTTTTATATATTAATTATTTTTTAAAAAAATTAAATTTTACTTAAAAAAAAAAATTTGAAAGTTTCTTATATTTATTTATATATATTAAAATGCTAAAAGTCATGTAGGCAGAACACATCGGTTTTTTGCAAATGTAAAAATGCCAGAGCATTAAATAAGTTTAGGACAGTTGACAATTTCGTCCAAAGATAAAAAACTTAATAATAATTTTAAAATTGATATATTTGATAATAACTTTAAGTAATAATTTAAGTATATAAAAATGTCGGTACTTTTGCACTAAAATTGATGCGGATATTCTAACTTTTTTTACTGATAGTTCCGCTGGTTTTAGAATTACTTATATTGCTAAAACTAATTCAAATATTAAAGCCAGCTATATCGGCTGTATAAGAAAAGAGCAAAACCGCCTCAATTTTACTGCAGGAGTACTGTCATTTTTCATTACTTAAATAGAACATAAGCTTTTAAAAGTCTTTATTTGTATATATAGTCACGTCCTATTTCTTTTAGTGCGTTTTTTAAACAATGTTTAACCTGCACCAATATATAATTAATTTTATAAAGAAGTTTCATCCGCCTCTCTGTGGCTGATAATTTTTAACTCAAGTTAAACTAATAGTTATCACAACAATCAAGATCTTCCTAAAATTATAAACGCAATAAACATCTTCGTTTGGCCTTTAAGCAGTGGCTTGGCGACAAAAAATAGGCCTTTTCTTAAAATTTTAATCCTAAATTATTTCTCTCCCCTCCCCCTCAAAACAAAAAAAAAATTATACATGAAAACAAAAAGCGTTATTTTTAAATACAATTTTGATTTAAGTTAATTGAAACAAGTATGTTACATATTGTATAGCTAAGAATTTCTAATTCTTAGATATACAATAAAAGTAAAAATGTTATCAAATGTATTTGAAAAATTTGGCTTAGGCCCCTAATAAGTCTGGGCCCTCCTACGGCTGCGGGCCCATCGATACGTTTCTGTCTTTAAGATTAAGAACAAAAATTATTTCCGATATTCTTGGTAACTACAAATCAAATCCATGGCAACATAAGCATCTGATAGGGTTGCATCTCTTTATCGTGCTTGCTACTTTCTTATTTAGGAATCTATTCTTTATCTCAATAAATCACAATGCCCTTTTTCTTTTAGGTAAGGTGCACAAACGCATTGTAAAACATAGTCGGATCCGCACTTGCAGCAAATTTTTGTATTAAATGTAAGTAGTTTTAAAAAATCTATTTTTGTCTTTACTCTAAAATTAAATTTATTTTAAATTTCTCTACAGAGAGTTCTCCTTATTTATAATTGCTAGTGATTTTTTTAGACAATATTTTGTCGTATAAGAATGGTCATGAATTAAATATAAATTTTATAATTAAATATTTATACAAAAAATTATGGTCCAAAAATGGGTAACTGTTAAATTTGGATAATCTTCAACTATGAAAGACATTCTTGTTTTTGTTAGATACAAAACAAACAAATAATGCTATAAAAAACAAATCAACGCTATATAATATCACAACAAAGAGTTATAATATCACAACAAAGAGTTATAATATCACAACACAGAGTTATAATATCACAACACAGTTTTATAATATCACAACACAGAGTTAAAAAATGATGTGGCACCAGCTTTTAATTGTATTTAGTCGTGAAAAGTATATTTTATATTAAAGCCATAAAAGTTTGGTAATCTGTGCTCTTTGAAGGTTTTTTTTTTTTTGACAATTGTTGACACGGGGGAGAAAGGAGGTCAATTGAAGTTGACGTCAACATTTTTTTTTTTTTTTTTTGAGTTTCATTGCAAAATTAGGCTAAGTTTGTAGCGTAGTTTCTTTGTATAGGAGGGGGGGGGGTGGATTCAAAATTTGACATAATATTATATTACTTTAAGAGTTTTGTGCAAAGACAAAGTTCAGCAGTTTGTCAAAAGGATGTTTTAGTAAATTGCAAGAAAAACATTTTGTTCAAGATTCAGCATTTAAACCTCTGTTGAGGTTTTTACATGCACGCAAATAGTCACTCTGGGTTTCAAAAGACTGGTTTGTTTTCGCTCAGCAAGATGGAAATCGAAAGACAATAAAAATAAAGCAAATCAGGCTAGGAAACAACGTAATCTTGACGTAAATTTGACCTTGATGATGAGCAGCAGATAAATCTTTTAACAACACCATCTCCAACAACAACAGCAGTAGCAAACTAAGTCAAGTATAAAAGTGTCCTAATGTTTTTAGAAAAGTTTAAGCAAGTCAAAAAAGTGAATGATATCAAACCGAAAATTCCAAATGCAAGGTTTGGCTTTTTTCATACATCTATTCCCAAGAAATGTTTAAAAGCACTGAGTTTTATTGCATTAAAAAGTGCCGCGCAAGTGACAACTCAACTCAACCTCCAAAACCTCTTAAAGATTTAACATTATCACATAAATAAATTTTTTTTTTTATTTGTATTATTGGATGATTTTTAATTAACATAAATGGTTGTATTTTTTAAGTTAAGTTTTTTTGATACGGCTGTATATTGAAATATGCAGCCGTAGAATAGAATGAAAAAGGAGGAGTCGAAGTGCAGTGGTTAGTACGCTAGCCACAGAAATAGAGATCCGTTATTCAACACCACACTAATCAATATATTTTTTTTTTAATTGCAATAATATTGCAATTTTATTGGCCAATATTGCCAATAACTTGCAATGGATTGGCAATATATTGGGCAATAATATTGCAATATTGACAATAAAATTCTAATAATATTGGCCAATATCTTGGGCAATAATCTCGCAATAAAATTGCAATTATATTGGGCAATAATCTCGCAATATTGACAATAAAACTCTTTGCAATTTTATTATCGTCTAGCAGCAGCGCTGAAAGTTGACATTTGAAAGAAACAATTATGTACACTTTCAATTCATACTAAATTCGAATTTTAAAAATTAAATAAACAACTAAATTTAGAATAAATAAGATGGTGTATTTATTTAACACACAAAACATACAAAACAGATTACAGATAGAATGGGGGGGGGGGGGGATAAGCGAAAAACGCTGACAACAAAAACAATAAAAATATGTTCAAGAAATTACATAAACAAAATCGTAATATTATTAAAATTACCTGAATTTTCATTCAACACTTCATTTACATGTTTTTTTTTCAGCACCTTTGATTTAGGAGTCGATTTATATTTAGGTCCGTTTAGGCCTGTATGTTCTGAGACCGGTGCAATATTCTCTGAATCTATAAAAAAAACATGAACAAGTTGTGGTTACAAACATATAATCATGGGTGTACTAGGGGCAAGGCTACTAGTGGATCCAATAGATCCCCACCATCGGATAGTGCAACTTTAACTTGTGTTGATAATTTTTGTGTGAATTTTGTGTCATTTTTTATTATTTAGCAAAAATGTTTAATTAATTATTACTTGTGTAGCAGACATAATAACTAAACTATGTCTGGTAACAAAGGTAACCTCCTTTTTTTTGACCCAGGGTGCTATTGCACTCCGGCACCATGGTCCAGTTCACCACTACACAGAAGAGTAAATTTTAAATAAAATTACTATAATATTGTCTTGTCATTGTCACATATTTATATTACATAAGTTACCTGAGGATTGGTCTCCATCAGAATGTTTTCTTTTTCCGTCAGTATTGCCTTCAATATAATTGAGGGCAAACTTGCTTACTTCATCAGTGCTAGGATTTTCATCACCAAAATCGTCCATGAAGTTATCTAGCAATGTTTCAAATTTACAGCATTGGGTAATAGACCCCTTATAGATGATGACAGCTGCGTGTTGTATATTTGCAATAGAAACATGCACTACATTTTTCTAATAAGTAAAAAACATTAAATTTAATTATCAATACACCATAAATAGTATAATAAAAGCAGGGGCTTCCATTTTTCAACATCCCTAAAAAGTGGGCATCTAGAATACTTCTTCCATTTTAGGGTGGGCTTCTATATATTCAGCTATGTAAAAAAACAAAAAAAACATTTTTATCTTATTCGTGGGCATCTAAAATACTTACTTCTATTTTAAGGTGGGCTTCTATATATTCAGCTAATAGCTGATAGCTGAAATATTCAGCTAATAGCTGGTTTGTAAAAAAACAAAACAAAATTTATCTTCTTTGTCAATTATAGGGAGGGGGGATAAAATTTAAGGGTGGACTTTAATTATATTATGTATGGTAAATGCTGTCAGTTTTTTTTAACACACTTACCACTTGAAATTCAAGGCATTCAACGGATGAATAATGCTTAAAAAGTTTATTTGAAAGTGATATGGGAGAGGTATGCCGCTCATCTTTTTCACAATCCTTGTACCATAAAAGAACAAACGTAGAAGAAAGCTTTTGAGTGTCTACAAAATCTAATTTCTTTGTTCTATTTCTATCAGGGTAAGTCATTATTTAATAAAATATAAACCTGTAAAAAAATTCAATCAAATTATCAAATTATTTTAAATCAAATTATCAAAATATTAAAAACAAAAATGTTTGTTAGTATAAAAAAACACACATGCATGATGTGAAGCATATTTATTAATTACAAAATTTACATTTAGCCACCCTAAGCATATTCGAAAAGTTCTTTCAATGGTGTCAAAATTAATACATCTTTTGTATCTAATTTACTTTTAATTAATATACATTTGCAGACTAAAGTGTCAGCTGAAATAGCAACAATGTTTTTTGTTTGTTCAACAATAAAAAAAAAGTCATCATCAAAGTTAATTTCCAAATTTCCAATCATATCACCAAAAGTAGAAACTAACTTACACTTCACATTCAATAGTTGTAACTGAACATGTATTACATTGTCAACTAAAGGAAAATCTAATATGATACCAAACTTATTATGTCCAAATTTGACAAGTGTAGCTGTTATGTTTGCCATAACCTTTTGAATGGTAAACAATACCATGTTTCAACAATCTGCCCGGATTTAACAACTGCAATTCTTCTTGTTCAATAATGCCAATATTTAATGCTTTACAAACTTTAACTTTTTTAGGATGATCTGTTGTTTGTAAAAAACAAGAAGCTGTTTTGAAGTCAAGAAATTTTTGTACAATCTGTTGTGGATGACCATGTGTTCCCTTCATCATTTTTTTATAATTACTTAGCCGAGCTTCAAAACAAAACATTGAGTAATTTGTAACACTTCCATGCATTTTAATAATATCGCTAACATGACCAAGCAAATGAACATTTATAGTATTCATATATAAAGGAAGCAACTCAGACAATGATTTTTGATAAAAGTTAAACAGCTGACTAATAAGCAACACCTTATCTAAACATATTTCACTGCTACACAAACGCATACCAATTACTAGAGAATAAATCATCATCATGCAGTCAGGATTCAAATATGGTAAAAAATATGGAACTGCTAAGTATAAAATAAAGTTTTTAAAGTCATGGCCTTTCCAATGTGTGAATGATTTAATAGTTAATGGCTTGGGCATGTTATGTGGCATTTTTTGATCAGCAAGTAAGATTTCCATAGCATTTAATTTTGCACTACCAATAAAAAATGATTCGTGTTTATTGGTAACAGAAAATAAACAAACTAAAAGCTTTTTTGAGCAATTTTCGTAAAACAAATGTAACACATCAATAAGTATCATATCTGGCACTTTAATAAATGAAATGTCACTAAAGATGTTTGAGCCTTTAATTCCAAATACAGATACTTTTGATTTTTCGGCTAATCTAGCATATATGGCATACATTTCAGATGTTTTAAGATTATAATTTGTATCTGAATGTGAATAAATTCTATCGGAACCATGTTTTCTTTCAATTGTTCTACCAGGATGTTCGCAATAGTGACATCCAAATTCACCATTATACTGCTTATGATTGATGATTGAAGCCACTGCAGGCAAATCGAAAACAAAACCAACAATATGAATAACTACTTGGATATTGTTAATTTCAAGGGGTGTTTCAAACAGTTTTCCATTGATGTACTCCTAAAAAAAAGTTAATAATATAGTAATGTTGCCCAATTTATTCTTGTCACGGCTGGAACAGTGAATTCTACTACTATAGGTAATTCCATTGACAACTACTTTTAAAATAAAAAATAACAATCAATAATTTAATTACCTTTAAATAAGCATTCCAATTAGGTTTTAATAATAAGAACCATAAACCAAGAAGTAGTGTATTTTCAAATAGGAATCGTTTATAAGATGGTAAATCTAAAATAATAGCATGAAATGGCCACATTGTAATCTTTTTTTTTGTGTATGGTTCTCCACCATCTGTTGACATCAATAAATGAATATGTAAAACATTTGCAGACTTCATATTTTTAACAAAATTTGGTCTAGAAATAAAATCACTCTTTCTTTTACCTGACATAATTTCCAATTGATATGATTTAATTGCATCCAAATTCAGAAATAAAACAAGTTTCATTTGGCTAATGATATCCAATATAAAGATATGGGATGAACAATGAGTATTTATTTTACACGTGTCAACTAAAGCTGTGCAGCAATTATGACAATAATATTTATGCGTTGGTTCAGTATGGGAGAATATATTTTTAGTAACAAATCTACGAATCATTTTATGAGATGACGGCATGTCATTTATACAGCGAAAAATCTATTAAAAAAATTTAAAAATTAAAAATATATTTTTTCAAGCTTTATCAACCAAACTAAGCCTGGGCCAGACCCCAGCCTCAAGTTGAAATAAAAATATGACATACTTCATTATTTTTATAATTTAATAATTTGTAAAAAAAATAATTTGTAAAAACTATAGATATAAAATATATAATATATAATTGTAAAATATTATATAATATATAATTTGTAAAAAAAGTCGGATAAAATTTTCACAAGTAAAATGTTTTGTAATTAGGAACGTTCTGCATTACTTTATCAGACTTTTTTTACGAATTATTGGCAATGTGCACCATTTCTGGTAGCAGCCAGAGATAAATAGCCAGATCAACATTTATTGCTAAGGACTAAGTTGATTGATAATTTTATTAGCTTCACAATATTCATTTACAAGTACATTGCACAATTTAAACTACATCTAACATACCAGCAAAGTCTTCAAAAATCTATCAAATGCGATTTCAGTAAATGAATTGCTAATCATTAAATACAACAAGGTTAAAAACATAAACTTTTTGTTAACAATTGAATCCAATAAAGAACATTCAAATGGATTAGAACTAAAGAACTGAAACATGGAAGCACTCGATTCTTCCTCAGATACTAGAATTTGATTTTCTTCCTCAGATACTATAGATACAATTTCTTCTGTCTCTTGGGTAAAACTACCATCATTAACATTATCATCTGTATTGCTACAGTCGGACTGAGAACTACTATTAGTAGTTTCCTCTTCAGGAGAAGTAGACTCAGCCGTAAAATGTAAAGTTCTTCTCTCGTACTTTCTATTAAAAAAATTTCGTTTCATTGCACATATATTCACCATTAATAAAATTTTATGAGTCTTTACTTATAAATAAATATGTTATTTTTGCACGGGTATCTTGTGTGGCCAGACAGGTTTGCTGGGCTCATGCAAGCCATGTCTAACGTGCGCCGAAGAAACCTGCCTGGCCGCACTTACACTGCAGTATAAAGTCCAATGAAAGCATGCTTGTAACTTCAGTTACAATCATAAAATCGATTACCTAATATTAGTTGCAATAATATTGCAATAATATTACAATTATATTGCAATTATATTGCAATTATATTGTAATATTTTAACAACAATCTTGCTACTGCTTGTAAACCCATTAAATTTATGTAAAATAAAAAAATGACACAGGCAATTAGATAAGCATCAGAATTATTTATATTTAAATGCATCTAAATTACATTTACAAACACATTACATTTGTATAATTTTATTGATATTTTATTGGACAATTAATTGAGCAATATATAGCAATTTAAATTGAACGCGCAATAATATTGCAATATGTTGTAATAAACCGCAATATATGTCGATTACCTCTGGGTAAGTTTTATAGCATCGATAAGAAAAAAAGCGTTCTTTCAAATGCTTTTCTGTGATAAGACCGAAAGATTTAATGGGCACCTAAATAAAAAAAAATAATAAAAAAAATTTTTTTTTTCCAAATAAATGAAGTTTCTTAAAAAACTTTTTTAAAAATATATTTGATTTTATATTTAAATACAATTCAAAAGTCTTTACAACTTAAAAAAAAAATTGAAATCTTTTTACCGTGATAAATAAAAACTTATTTGACCGCTTTTACTCTACTGATTGGAAAAAAAAAAGCAATTTTAAACTTACTTGGCAAATTGTGTGAGAAATTATGGTAAACTAAAAATAAATCAGGCGCACTTATTTTGGTAACTTTAAGTTAATCAGACAGAGAATCTTCTCAGATTAACTTAAAGTTACCAAAATAACGACGAGATTTAAGCTATGAATAAAATATATGTTCTGCAAGACAAACAATTAGATTGCTTAAAGAGAAAGCACTAATTTTCTAAGTGTTAACTATAAACAATCTTTTAAAATATGTTTAAGGTAAAGAAATAAAAGCCGTGAAAAAAAAATTAAGATTTGGTTCATTAATCTGTTGATTACAGAATACAAAAAAATTAATGCAAAATTTTAACATAGAGTTATTATAATTTGCGTTTATATCAAACAATTACTTTGAATATCCAATACAACGCCATAGCAACCGTTATATAAGCAAAAATATTTCTAATGTTTAACTGCAAATTTCTATATATTGTAAATGCTAAAAAACATTTTAAGTATTAAAGTCTATCTTGCTTATTATTTGGTCATAAGTTAATTGATCATTTGCATTCTAAAAATATAATCAAGTATTACATTTTGGAATAATGAAAGTTATAATATTTACTGTTTGTTATATTTACTGTTTGTACTGTTCTAAAAGTATAATGTCCAAGGTAAAAATAAATAAATTGTTTTTTAAAAAAATAAATTATTATTCATCTTCATAACTGTTGTAAAAATGATTTTCAAACAAACTTTCACTAATTACATCATCAACAACCACAAAAACAGAGTACCCTTCAAAAACATCTTTTTTCGAAAAAAAATCTTTTTTCGACAAAAAGAAGTTTAAAGATTTTGAAAGCCATCCACCAGAGCTACTTCTTTTTAATTGATATGACTATTTTGAAGAAAAAGCTATATGAAGTGAATGTACGTTCAGTTGTTGCGTTCCGTGAAATTTGATTAGGCTTTTAGGCTATCAAAACAATTGCAAAAAGAGTATAAACTCATATAATATTTCTGAAAATGCTTTAAATAATTTAGGCAAAAAACGGTCTAGTATATAATGTTTATATCAATGTTACAACTAAAAATGTAAATAGCGTAACCCGAGAACGTAAAAAAAACAATTTTTTTTTTTTTTTTATTATTTATTACAATCATTACTACAATTTCTATTATAACTTGTGAATAAAACGCAAGACATAAAAAAAAGAAATAAATAATATTTACAATAAAGATTTCGTTAACAATAGAAATATGACAATAAATATATCAATAAAAATTTGGAATAAAGAATGCGGAAACTCGAAGAAGTTCTTGAGGTCTTGTCGTAGAGAACCGCTGGAATCAAAACGCTTTAAATAATTTCATTTTTATTGATTTTTTGTAAATGTTTATTAGCTTTTGGATTGGATCTGTTCCGATAAATAATTATATAAACCGTTGCATAGAATAGGTAAAAATAATATACTTCAGCATAATTATCGATGTGTTTGATGACGTCATAGTGTGTTAGTGATGTTAATATAAATCGAATAGATTAAAAAAAAATAATAATTGAATTGAACATTTCTTGCATTAAAATTGTAGAAAATAAAATCAGAGTGGGGTTCTTGAAATCTTGTTGATAATTAGCTCTTGTTCTAATATAGTTTTTTTTTTTAAGTATATATTGTGTTTGCATCTTTATCATACAAGCGATCATAGGTGGTATCACCGAATCCCAATCCAGCCCAACGATTGCCAAGGGTGTATGGGTGTTCCTACGCCAGAGGTAATGCAGCACTATTCTTTATTTATTTATTTTATTTTTTTTTTAATATACATAGACTGCAAGCACACACACACCCATACTAACAGCACATATACACCCATACACCCATATATATACCAATATACATACATAAATACATACATACACAGATACACATACGCATTTATACATAATTTATTGACTTTATTTTATTTTTATTTTTTTTAATTTCTTTTTTTTTTTTTTTTTTTTTTTTTTTCTTTTTAATTTTTACAAAACCGTGTTATAAAAACCGTAACAAAATTTTTTTGTTTTTTGTTTTTTCAAATACTAAATAAAAGATAAAATAAACCTGAAAATTTATACATACTAGCAATATATAATATAAAGCAATATATAATACGAACTCAAATAATAAATATTTATACATCTATTCACAGCTATCAGTTTCAGTACAATCTCAATGTAACTATATAAATAGGTAAATAAATAGGTAAACTTAGTTTTAATAATAGGTAGACAAACCCATAACACTAGTAATATAGAAAAACGTTCTCCATAGAAAGAATTAGATTTTTAAGCTTAGTTTTGAAAATAGAAAAAGAGGAAGGTAGATCAAAATTTTGCAAAATAACTTTATTCCAAAGATTAGGTGCACGATAATCAATACAAAGCTGATTAGACTTGGTTCGACATAAAACTTGATTTAGCAAATTATTATTTCTCAGTGCATACTTATTGTCTGGTTTCAAAGTAAAAATATTTTCAAAAACGTCAGGAGATAAGATATTTTTCCACATATATACAAAACATAGAGTATTATATAAATTCACTTCGTAAATATTAAGTATTCTCATTTCGTTAAATAAAGGTTTTGAATGAGTAAAACGATCGGAAAAATTAATAATACGAATTGCGTGTTTCTGACGTGAAAAAAGACGTTTCAACTTATTCTTTCCAGCACTTCCCTAAGCTATATTTGCATAATTTATATAATTATGGATAAACGAATGATAGAGTTGGGTCAAGCTTTTTTTATTTAGATAATCTCTAGATTTATATAAAATTCCAATATTTTTAGAAATCTTGGTACATACGTGATCAATATGCTGTTTCCATGTAATGTGCTCATCAAGATAGACTCCTAAAAACTTTATGACAGAGTCCCTCTTAATCTCAATTTGGTTAATAAATATTTTAGGCAGATTTAAGGGTAGGTAACGTTTTTTTGAAGCGGGTGGAAAATAATCCATTTTGTTTTATTAAAATTAAGAGTTAATTTGTTACACTTGAACCAGCTAGATATTTTTTTAAGTTCGTCATTTATATTACAAAACAGTTTGGAGATGTCAGTATCAGAAAGAAATAGGTTAGTATCATCAGCGAACATAATGCTAAGTAGATTTAAAGCTTTATTTAAGTCATTAATGTAAATCAAGAATAAGAGGGGTCCCAATATAGAGCCTTGAGGAACACCGCTAGATATATCTAATAAATTTTTTTGGCAATCATACTTACAAGAAACAAATTGTTTACGATTTGATAGGTAGCTTTCAAACCATCTTAAAGTTTTTTTGTTTATACCATAATATTTAAGCTTATGCAGTAATATAGTGTGATCTACTGTATCAAAAGCCTTCGATAGGTCAATGAAGATACCTAGTGTGTATTGGGAATTTTCAAAGGATTTTGAAATTTCGCGTACAAATTGAATGATTGCATGTTCCGTGGAGTTGTGCTTTTTAAAGCCAAATTGTTTGCTATATAGTAGGTTATTGCATTGAAAATAATCATAGACTCTATTATACATAATTCTTTCTAATATTTTTGAAAATAAAGGTAAGATAGAAATGGGTCGGTAGTTGCTAATAATAGCCCTACCACCTTCTTTAAAAATTGGGGTAATTTTTGCAATTTTTAGTTGTTCAGGAAAAATTCCTTGATTAATTGATGCGCTAAAAACTTTAAAGAGAATATCTTTTAATTGTTCAAAACAGTTTAGAATTATATTACCATTAATGTCATCTGCTCCAGTAGCTTTATTTTTTTTCAGAGTTTTAAATGCTATTTCAAATTCTATAAATGATAATTTAGAAGACAACTCTCCAGATGTAATGCAATCAGTCATCGGTACTAGAAAATCACTAAATATAGCCTGCGTCTTTGGAATCTTACTGGCCAGTTCAGGACCAATTTTAACAAAAAAATTATTAAACTCGCAAGCTATTTCTTTTTGTTCATAGATGATTCTGTTATCAACCTTGATGACCTGGGGAAGGAAACCTGAGCAGTCTTTTTGTTTTCCGCTTATTTCTTTTATTATTTCCCATGTACGTTTGGAGTTATTTTTATACTTATCGATTAAGCTAGAGTAGTAATTTTTTTTTTAATTTTTTCGAGTTTTTTCAAACTGATATTTATAATCTTTGTATATTTTTTCATTTTCTGGGGACTTTGTTTTTAAATACTTTATATACAGTTTCTGCTTGATCTTCGATGATTTTTTAAAATCTTTGGTAATCCAGGGATTGAATGTTTTTTTTGGATTTATTGTCTTTTCTATGAATGGAAAATTTGCATCGTAAATAGGATATAATGTGTTGAAAAAATTATCATATATAGAGTTTGCGTCATCGTTAATGTTTATATGTTTCCAATGGAGCAATGGTAGTTGCTCTTTAAAATGATTAATACTGTCTTTGTTAATATGACGCAGTCTAATTTTTTGGCTTGTCTTAATCATAGTTTCGGAATTACAGTTAAATGTTAAAAATATAGTAAAGTGATCGGAAATATCAGTTTTTAAGATACCTTTTTGTATGTTTTTATTAAGGATATCGGTTGTAATAATATTATCGATAAGAGTAGTTGTGTTTATTGATACTCTTGTCGGTCGATTAATTAAAGGAACTGCTCCTAATTCAAATATTGCGTCATAAAACTTTTTAACTTTAGAATCCTCATAATAAGAAAAAGTATTCATATTGAAGTCTCCAATAACAAAAACTTTTTTTATTTCTTTTGTGCTTTTTTTGAATATGTTTTGTTCAAAAAAAATGCTCAAATTTTTGCCCAGACCATCAGGTGGTCGATAACAGCAGCTTAATAGAATGTTTTTTGTTTGATTGTTTACAATTTCAATCGTTAAAATTTCTTTATTCTCGTCAGAAACACTCAAATCATTCCTAACGTAATGCATTATGTTCTTTTTCACGTAAATAAAAATTCCACCGCCGCGTTTATTTGTTTGCCTATCTTGAGATATTAATTTAAAATGAGGAAGGTTAAAATTTGAACTATTTTTTAGGTCATTTATAGTTATCCATGTTTCTGTTAAGCAAAGTATATCAAAAATCTTTTTAGTTTCTTCTAATAAATTAAGTAGATTTTCAAAATTGCGATTTAAGCTTCTAATATTTACGTGAAGAATTTTAATTTTATCGCTTGCTTTTACATTATCCTTCAAAAGAAACTCTGCTAATTCACTTGGATAATAATATGAACAATCACTGAGCAAATCACAATAATAGTTAGTGTCGGGATCTGAGAATTCATTTGAGATGCAATCTATTTTAGAAAAATTAAAGATTTGGTTTTCAAAATTATTAATGCCGCTCATTTTTAACAAGTGTATCTATAGAAGGGTTTCTTTTGATAAAAACTTATTTGTTGAGTTCTCTGCAATAGATCTTATCGAACTTTAAAATAGCATACTTACCTTCTTTAAGTAAGTTTAATACTTCACCCCAGAGTCTTTTTCACGTTTCGATTGTTTCTCTAGCAAAATCTTCGTTGATAAAAATACCAGTTCCACGTAAATTTTTACTATTAAAGAGAATTCTTTTTTTATCGTTGTAATTTAACAGTTTTATGAAGATTGTTCGGTGTTTGCCTACTTTTTTTGACCTGAACGATGAGCTCGTTCAATTATTATTTCGTTCGGGATTTTTAATTTTTTTGAAAAAATATCTTTCACAATTTTTTCACAGATATGAAAGGTCTCTGCTACTATTGCATCACAATTGATGGCACGTGGCAAAAGAGCGGGTACTCGTCTCTTACCGGAGTCACGGCATCATTAATTGGTAAAATGTGATGACTATAAAGTTCTTTTAAAACATCTTAGTGCTTTTTAATATTGTGAAAATAAAAATTATAGCCCTCAGTATGATAAATTGCGTGTTAACCATATATGCAACACATACCATAAAGAGTCTCCTGTAGGAGACTCTTATGGTACCAGATAATTCCATCTAACCATGGTTTGATGGAGTTATCTCGATGGTTGAACGCTCCGTAGCAAAGTATAATTATATATATATAAAGAGTATCTTGGAGAAGGTGACACTTATCATTTAATGATATTGTGCAAAGTGACCCATCGCTTATAATTAATACTTAACTTAACGCTGCTGCTCACCATTCGTGCACCTTTACACGGATTTTTTTACCATACTTGGCCTTTGAGTTTTATCATAAATTGCTTTACTTCTGAACTCGCCTAATGGGGCTCTTTCAAATCTTAATAATCTGTCAGTATCTGCTTAATCAGTAATGAGATCAAAAACTTTGTTTCATCAGCTTAATTAGTAATAAGATCAACAATTTTTATTTGATAACTTCTGTAATAAAGGATGAACATTATGTTATTATTGAATTAGTAAAGTAACTTTTAAAGTCAGGTGATTTAATTAAATCATGCATTTTAGTCTTTTGTCAATTGTATTTAAATTTATTAATTTATAAAATTAATCTCTAATTTTTAAATTAAAAGACGACTCAAGAAGACGTTGCTCATTTCAAAGGCCAAGAGGTCAAACTCTTGATAAAGTTAGTGTTTAAAACACTTGCATCTCACACGGTCAACTCAATGTTACATGTTAAAGAACAAGATCGTTTAATACCTTATTTAAAAGAAGTTATGAAAATCCGTATAAAAAACCAGATTGTTTGATAGTTTGTTTTTGAAAGTTGTTAAACATTTATTACAAGGTATTTCAAAAAACAAAAATAAGGTTGTATTTGTAAAGTTTCAAATTTATATATTTTTCTTAATTTATATATTTATCTATATATGTGTGTTATTTATATTGTGTTTTATTGTGTATATATGTGTTAAGGTTATATGGGTTTATATTTTGTAAGTGTGTAAATATATGAAATGTTTCAATGTTTGTGGTGTGTTATATGTAATATGTTTATAGTTTGTAAGTGATAATTATGTTGTTTGCATGGTTTCAAATTGTTGTGACTGGGCTTAGTTTACAGCAAGATTGTTGACCTCGCTAGCCAAGTGGTGTACTTTGCTATAATGTAACCTGGCTTTGTTGAGAGCAAAAATATTGTCCTCGCCAGCAGAGTGGTGTATTGTCATAATAAAACACATAAATTAATTCTGTTTGTAATTAGTGTATTTCTAAAATGTGTTGAAAAAATATTGTTTAAAAAATGTGTTTTAATGTTGTTATCCTCTGTTCTTAACAATGTATGCTTTTGACAATAAATAAATTTTGTTAAAAAGCAGGCTTTACTAACAGCTCCTCCTCATTAAAATTTTTAAGAGTTTCGATTTTCTTCATTAAATATGTTTAACTCAAATTTTTTTTATATATATAAAAGTAAGTATACAGCGTGTTGAAGCATAAGTTTTAATAACTTTTGTTAAATTTTTAGGATTTTTTGTATAGAGAATGTTTTCTTAATATTATTATTTTAATGTTTTGTATGTACATCAATATATATATATATATATATATATATATATATATATATATATATATATATATATATATATATATATATATATATATATATATATATATATATATATATATATATATATATATATATATATATATATATATAGACACACACACACAATAAAATATATAGAATTAAAATGTCTATACATATATTATATGTATAGACATTTTAATTTTTTTGCCTTAAATTATTGTCCCTTTTTCTTTAGAATATTAAATATCTAAAAAAAAAAAAAATAGTAAAAGAAGTTTCAATATTTCCAAGTTTCTTCACTTGAAGCAAATATATGATTGTTTATAGAGGTTCTTTTAGTAGTTTTGTATTTATTTATTGCAAATCTTGCGTTAAATGCCTTTCAAAGTAATGAAAGGGTTTTGTTGATGGATGATTACATTTTATCCTTCCATGCTAGCAGTACCTGCTGAGTTGACAGGCCTTAAATTTTTTTAATTTGCTTTATTTATGAGTTCTTATATGTAAAAAATTTGTTTTTTAAATTACATTTGTTTTTTTTGTTTTTTTTGATTAAATACTTATAATATTTTGTCAATAATTGATAACAACTACCATAAATATATAAACAATACTTAGTTGAAAATATTACATTAATTTATAACTTTAGTTTAAGTTTTTAATAAAACTATGTTATCTTAACACAATGCTATATATGGTAGAATATAATAGATTATAGTATTATGCTCTGTATTATTTGCTTACACTTTATTTTAGATAAGTTTAAAAAAGAAACTTCAACTTTTATTATATTAGGCATCATTTTTACACACTCCTTTGATGCCTAATTATGTCTAATAATTTAAGAAATGAAATTATTAGACTTCGTCAAAATGAAAGAAGGCAGGCTAGGCGAGCTGAGATAAACCGCCGTCGAAATGAAAGAGATGAGCCCAGGCGAGCTGAGATAAATCGTCGTCGAATGGAAAGAGATGAGCCCCGGCGAGCTGAGATAAATCGTCGTCGAATTGAAAGAGATGAGCCCCGGTGAGCTAAAATAAATTGTAATCAAAATGAAAGAAATCAGGCTAGGCGAGAACTTAATAGGTATAATATGCATCGCATAGCAAGAAATAATATTGCTATAGAGAGTAACTACCTCGGAGAATTAAACCATAATTGTCAGTATTGCAGTGCAAAGAAGTTTTTAAATGAAACTCATTTTTTGTGCTGCCATTCAGGAAAAGTTGCATTAGCTCCTCTTTCTCTTTATCCGCCATTGTTGACTGGTTTAATGACAGGAAACCATGTTGATCATGCTGTAAATCAAAATTTTTTTAAACACATAAGGAGTTATAATTCCTCTTTATCTTTTGCTTCCTTCACTGCCGAAATAGCTCCTCCCTCAAATAATGGCCCTTTCTGTTTTAGGGTCTGTGGGCAAATTTTGCATCGTGTTGGAAATTTAAGGCCTGCAGAAGGTTGTCTGCCCAAATATTGTCAGCTGTATATCTATGATCCTAATGCAGCAGTGTCATTCAGAGTGGAACAACCTGGTAATGATGGTTGTATACATGAGTTAATGCAACTCTTGCAAACATTAATTAATCAAGAAAACCCATTTGCTCTTGCATTTAAAAACATGGCAGAAGTAGAGGATGAAGAAATCCGCCAAGCAGCTTTAGAAGGTAGACCAACCTCTGTTGTAAGAATGTCTTTGCTTGAAGGTCATGATAGACGTCGATACAATCTTCCTTCCCATGAGGAAGTTGCTATTGTGTTTGTGGGAGATGATGGTGCTCCACCTGCATCCAGGGAAATTGTTATATACCCTCGAGGTCAGCCTTTAAGAACAATTTCGTCTATGTCTGCAAATTTGGATCCTTTGGTATATCCAATATTCTTCCCGAGAGGTGATGCTGGATGGCACAATCAACTAGAGCACAACCCTGACCGTGCAACCCGTGTTAGAAACCATGTTACTTTGTCTCAGTATTATAATTATAGGCTTGCTGTTAGACAAACTTTTAGTCCTATATTCTATGGTAAGAAACTTTTTCAGCAATATGTTGTTGATGCATATGTCAAAGTTGAGGGACAGCGCCTTGCTTTTATTAGAAATAACCAAAACAAACTTAGAAGTGAGCAATATGATGCGTTGCATGAACATGTAATTAATCGTGCTAATGATCTTAATGTAAGACCAGGCCGTGTTGTTATATTGCCTTCTTCATATGTTGGTAGTCCAAGAGCATTAAAAGAAAACTTTGAAGATGCGATGGCAGTCATAAAGAAATATGGTAAACCAGATCTATTCATTACTTTTACCTGCAATCCAAAATGGAGAGAAATAGTAGAAAATTTAAACCCAGGCCAAACTGCTAATGACAGACCTGATTTAGTTTGTCGGGTATTTAAAATGAAACTTAAATTTTTCTTAGAGGATATTTTTAAGCATGGAGTCTTAGGCAAAGTTGTAAGTCATGTGCAGGTTATTGAGTTTCAAAAGCGTGGTTTGCCACATGTACATATTTTATTGCACTTTGTAAATGCTGATAAGCTAGAAACAGCAGAAGATATTGATAGTTTGATATCAGCAGAAATCCCAGACCCAGCTGTTGATCCTGAACTTTTTGAAATTATAAAATCATGCATGATACATGGACCATGTGGAATTTTAAATCCCAATTCTCCCTGCATAAAAGATGGTAAATGCACAAAAAAATTTCCTAAGGAATTTAATCCCCACACTGTTGCAATTTTTAATGGTTATCCACGCTATAGGCGCGTCGATAATGGAAGAATTGTAAATATAAAAGGTAATCAAGTTGACAACCGTTGGGTTGTACCTTATAACCCATGGCTTTCTAAAAAATATCAAGCACACATAAATGTTGAAGCCTGCATGACCATAAAGTCAGTTAAGTATTTATATAAGTACATTTACAAAGGGCATGACTGTGCCAATGTGGTGATAAATGAGCAAGTTAACCATGATGAAATAAACACGTTTTTAAATTGTCGCTATGTCTCAGCTCCAGAAGCATTGTGGCGAATATTTGAGTATTCTTTAAGTGATATGTCACATAACATCATTCGACTTCAGGTTCATCTGCCAGATAATCAGATGATATATTTTGTAGAAGGCGAAGAACAGGCAGCTTTAGACCGTGCAGCACAGCGTGACACTCACCTAACTGCATGGTTTAAATTAAATGTTGAAAATGAACAAGCCCGACACTATCCATATGTTGAAATTCCTTACCACTTTGTTTTTGATAGCAAACATTGTAAATGGAAAGTTAGGCAAAGAGGTAGCAATAAGGTGATTGATAGGATGTATAAAGTGAGTCCAATAGGTGAAATATTTTATCTTAGAATGTTACTTTTGCATGTTAGAGGTGCAGTTTCTTTTGAAGATTTGCCTACTGTTAATGGTACAGTTTTTAATACATTCCGAGAAGCATGTTCTCAATTAGGTCTGTTACAAGACGACGCTGAATGGAGAAATACATTAACTGAGGCTGCTGCAACTCGGTTGCCAAATCAAATTAGACAGTTGTTTTCCATTATTTTGACTTTCTGTGAACCTGATGATCCATTAAATCTTTGGAATGCCTTTAAAGATTTTATGATGGAGGATTACATTCACCATTCCATGCCACCAATAATTGCTAAGCAGGCAGCTTTGCGTCAAATTGAATCTATAATTAATCAGAATGGTAAGACTTTAGCTGATGTTAATCTTCCTACTTTAGATGAGTTTTTAGATTATGTCCCACAAAATGAAGAGGAAGATGTTCAGGTTTTAATTAATGAAGCAAATAGGGTTAGACCATTGTTAAATGATAATCAGCGTCAAATTGCTGATGCTATCCTTTCTGCTCTTAGTGAGCAACCTAACAATGAAAACAAGCAGCCTAGATTGTTTTTTATGGATGGCCCTGCAGGTTGTGGCAAAACATTTACATACAATTATTTAATCGCTGAAACCAGCAGTAGACATATTATAACTGCAACAGCTGCATGGACAGGAATAGCTGCAACTCTTTTAAAAAAAGGATGTACACTTCATGGTTTGTTCAAACTTCCTGTGCCGATTTTGGAAAATAGCACATGCAATGTAACTCCAAATTCTATACACGGAAAATTCTTGAGGCAAGTTAGCCTTTATTTACTAGATGAGGCATCCATGATACCTAAACATGCTTTAAATGCCATTGATAAGTTACTTCAAGACGTTTGCAATAACAAGTTTCCTTTCGGTGGTAAAGTTATTCTTATGGGTGGGGATTTTAGGCAAATACTTCCGGTTGTAAAGAGAGGGCAACCAGCTGATATTGTTGAAGCCTGTATAAAATGTTCTCAACATTGGCAATATGTTCAGCGATTTTCATTAACAGAAAATATGAGGGTTCAGGCCGAAGAAGAGGAATTCTCTCAATGGCTTTTAAAACTTGGTAGTGGAACATTACCTTTAAAAGCAGATGGTTCCTTTCGCGGGTGCATTGAGATTCCTGAGCAATGCTTGCTTGGAGAAAATGAATCTTTAGTAGACAAGATTTTTGGAGTTGCAGAAGAAGATGATTATGCTAAACGTGCCATTTTGACGCCCAATAATGTTGATTCTTTAGCAATAAATGAAGAAGTTTTGGACCGTTTACCAGGTGACGTTAAGGTTTATTTAAGTGCTGATACTATTGAAACAGATGATCTTAACGAAATCAATAATTTTCCTGTTGAGTTTTTAAACAGTCTTACTCCATCAGGAATGCCTGTTCATTGCCTAAAGCTAAAAATTGGTGCTGTTATAATGTTACTTGGAAATTTAGATCTAAAAGCTGGACTTTGCAATGGTACCCGATTGATAGTGCGTGCTCTACAAAATAATTACATTGATGGGCAAGTTCTAACAGGTGTTTCAGTTGGCAAGAGGGTATTTGTCCCTCGGGTTCAGTTAACACAATCTGATTCAAATTTACCTTTTACTCTTAAGCGTCGTCAATTTCCTGTAAGATTAGCATACTCAATGACCATAAATAAAAGTCAAGGTCAAACTTTTGACAAAGTTGGTATTTATCTCAAAAACCCTTGCTTTTCACATGGTCAACTCTATGTTGCATGTTCAAGAACAAGATCGTTTAATACCTTATTTTTTAAAATTGATGAGCATTCATTACAAGGTATGTCATTTAACAAATGCTACACAAACAATGTTGTATTTACCAATGTACTAAATCTATAAATAATTAATTTTTTACAATTAAACTCCTCATTTCTTATAAATATTTTAACTGTAATTTAAAGTATTTTTGTGTGTTGCTTGATGCAGTAATGTGTGATATTTATTATGTGTTTAAATATGTGTTAAGGTTATATTTTGTAAGTGTTTATGTGTAACTAATGTGTAAATGACTGTTATATGTGAAGTGTATTTTTTATGTTATCTGTTTATAATTTGTGAGTTGTTATTATGTTGTTTTCATGGTTTCAAAGTGGTGTGACTTGGCTTTGTTTATGGCAAGAGTGTTGTCCTTGCTAGCCAAGCGGTGTACTTTGAATAATGTGACTTGGCTTTGTTTATGGCAAGAGTGTTGTCCTTGCTAGCCAAGTGATGTACAGACATGAAACACATAATAAAATCTGTTTGTAATCACAAAATGTGTACTTATAAGTATGTTATATTTTGTAAGTATTTATGTGTAATTAATGTGTAAATGGCTGTTACATATGAAGTGTATTTTTTGTTATGTTATCTGTTTATAGTTTGTGAGTTGTTATTATGTTGTTTTCATGGTTTCAAAGTGGTGTGACTTGGCTTTGTTTATGGCAAGAGTGTTGTCCTTGCTAGCCAAGCGGCGTACTTTGAATAATGTGACTTGGCTTTGTTTATGGCAAGAGTGTTGTCCTTGCTAGCCAAGCGGCGTACTGACATGAAACACATAATAAAATCTGTTTGTAATCACAAAATGTGTACTTGCAAGTATGTTATGCTGTTAGTAAATAAAGTATTTACAATAAAGTCTGGATAACTCAATAAATCAACTTGAATAAATCAAACTAATTTTAAAATTCCAGTTGAGCGATTGTTTATGGATCATACTACCACTAACTGAAATATTTTCTAATAAGCTAATTGCTGTATCCTTTGGTGGTTTAAGTTATTGAGTCTTTACTGTAAGATTTTGTGCTATTTGTTATTGATGTTTGTGATGTTACTGTTGTGATGTTTTGTGTTGATAGACGACTTGGCTTACCTTCACGTCGGTGTCTATCGTTAAAAATGATTATAGGGTTGTTTCATACTGAAACTGACTATATATAATCATTCACTAAAAGCCAAGCATTCAATTTTTATATTAAACTGTAAGGGTTTATCTTTTTTTGGTTATTTTTAGTGTGCTTTTTTTGAAAAGAGTTTATAATCGAAACTTGCAACAAAAAATCTTGAAACCTTTACACAAAACCTATTCACACAAAAAAAACAATCTCAAAGTAAGTTTCTTATTTGATATCGCCTTGGTCACACTTTTGAGTTTTTAAATAAAAGAGTACATTAATGTGTTATGTTTTCAATAATTTTGTTTTATTTTAGTTCGAATGCCTTCTCTTAATGTTGATCGTTTTTTAACATCCAAAGGGAAGTTTTGTTAATCTTTATACCATTTACTAAAAGATATATTATAGGGAAACAAATCAAATTGATTTTATAAAGTACTTCTGATACTTTTTATGTTATATATAATAGATATTGTAAAATTTAAAAAAAAAAAAATTATTTTTTTAATTTTATCTCAAGAAAAATGTTTTTTGTTTCTCACACAAATTTGTAAAATTTTTCTCTTTGGAATTATAGTATTTGATGGATACATTGCTCATTTTGCTTTTTTTATATATATCTCCGTTATATATGAATGGAAACCGTTAATACTTTTATTACCATGGTAATTACAGATCTAGATAGTTCCATTCCCATTAAGTATTTTACAAATTTTCGGTACAAATAATAGCTATAGTAGTTTAATAATTTGCTAATTTATAAACATTTAGAAAAATTTGTTGCGAGTTTATTGTAGAAAATTTGCTTTTCAAACAAATAGAGCTAATTTTTGACATAATTAGGATTCGTCACCTGATTCTTTGTCAAATACTTCTCCTTTTTAAATAGGAAAGGTTAAATTTTATAAAAAAGTTTGCCAAAACACTGGGAGAAATGTCACGTAATTGGTAACTATGTTAAATACACTTTTGTTAGGTCCACGTAATTTTCGAATCTGCTCATCACTACGTTAGATGGCGTTATTTCTTTAAAATACCTTAAAAATCTTCAATTCAAAGTTTTTGTTTCGAATCATCAAAATATTGGCATATGATATAAATATACGATTCTAATAAACCAAAAGTATGTGGAAAAATTGCGCATACTTAGGCATCATAAAAACTTAATTCACACCAACCATTTACTTCGATATTTTTTAGTGTATGGCAGAAAAATAAATTACGAATTGTCTTAGATAAATAAAGTTACCGGACCTTTATTACTTAATCCATAAACAATTATTGTTTCATTCGATTTAACACCACAATAAAAAACAAAGCTTTTTCTATTTATTTTCGAAAAACGTTTTACAGGAAACCGAGTTCTTTTGTAGCATTTTAGTTAGAGTTATAGAAAAATCTATAACTCTTATTTTGTTAAGTAAAAAAAAAATCTTATGCTCTTCTAATTTTAGTCACCAATAACAACTATGTTAGGAATAGTAGAAAATGTTATGTGTGGTAGAGAAACTGTTTTAGTGTGGTGTTGTAGGAGTACTGCGGGTCTAAGAAACTTTGTTTTCATCAATAAATTATTCTATTGGTCTATTAAAACAGTATGAAAACTTTCCAGTATTTATATTTGATGTCTTTTTTTCATTTTATTTTATAATTGTAATTTAAGTTTCAAAAAGCAGCAAAAACAACTTGAAAAGAACTATCGCACAATGACTCGCTTAAACACAGGATTCAAATTTCCTGATATACATGGAAATGCTGATATTGTTTTCACTATATTGTCTCTTTGTAATGTGTAACATCATTTTTACTTAGGTTTGCCAAATGACCGGCTTTTACAGAGTAGAATATAGTCCCAAACATATACAGTTCAGTTCTATTACTGCTTTCTTCTTCATAAAAGCCGGACGTCTTGCAACCCTTGAATTTCCCCTTCTTTTTGTTTGCATAAATTACATAATTCTCTTAATTATAAATACTCAAAATCCGATTTTCGAATAGCGTATTTTAAAATCTAAAGAAATATAAGCGATTAAAGATTACATTTTGCAAGCCACCTGGATGCTTAAACAACTCAAAAGACAGCCACGCGCTCATTATAGCTCTCTTATAGTTTTAGAATCTGAGTGAGTTACTGTTTTGAATATCTAAAATCTTCAAATTAAGTTTTTATGATTTTAAGTTAAATTAGACTTAAGAATATGTGTAAGAATTGAGAATAAATATTTACTTTTTATTTTAGAAATGAACACACAAGAAAATTTAAACGGTATGTATTTATTGCATATGTGTGTTAGTGCTATATGCGCTTATATTAGATATTATATCTATATATCTATATATATCTAATATATGCGTATACAGCACAAACGCTATACTTTATTTAGTACGCATATATAAATATATAAATATAAATAGACAAACAATTTACACTCTTATAAACAGTGTTGGGTTAACTGATAGACAAAATAAGCACTGCTATCATATTTTATTTATTGGAAATAAATAAAAATATCAAGTAATTCTCTTTTTAGACGATGATGGTGACTTTTTTAGAAGTAAGTAAACTATAATTTCTTTAGAAGTAAACAATTTTTATTTATATAAAGTGATAGTTATAAAAAATTTATTTCAAGTATGGAGAAATCAGTAGCATATTTTTTATCAAATATTTGTATACTAATAGTAATTTGATTGTTGGTAATAGTTATATAGTTATATACACGCAGCTATTTAATAGTGAAATTTCATTATTATATGTAAAATTCCAATCTTGAAATAAGAAAAAAATCTTTGTGTTTTTCAACTAGAAACTTGGAATTTATTTTCTAGACCAGATGTTGTGATTATTATATTTTCTAGACTAGATGTAGTGCTTTATCATATGATATGCTAAATGTATATATTGTATTGTGTGTATATCTTAGATGCGCAGGAGGTAGTGGCAGAAGAGACAGAGTCTTTTCTGCCTTATTTGAAAGAATTCTTAGATAATCAAAGTTAGCATTTTCTATTTTTTCTTTTTTACTTCAGTTTTTTCGAAGTTTATGTTACAGTAAATAAATTTATGAACTAATCTTTCATACATTTTGTTTATTTAGAAAATTTAGAAAGTAGAGTTAGTAAGCAAAATTTCATTATATTACTTTTATGTATATTAAATAAAAAATAATGAGGTTGGCTTTAGTAATTTGTTTATCTATTTAGAAAAATTAGAAGATTTACAAAAGTCCATAGGCGAGTAAAATTGCTTTTATGTTTATTATACACCCTAATTATTTATGTACATCTAATATTAAATGCGTTTTTTCAATTTGAGATTAGTTTTGGACTTTGTACTTTTTGGTCAATTTTTTTAGATATCATTTTAAACTACATTTGTAAGTAACTATATTATGTTTTATGTCTCATAAAAGTTTTAATAAATAATATAATGTAATCACTTATATAGTGACAAATCCAACTTCCTCAGTAACGTATGTTGTTGTACTCACTTATACTTGACTTAATTTATGGATTAATTGGTTTTATTGCATTTTTAATTTTCTTTTATTTATCTCTAGCTGCTGCTTCTTCTGTTACAAGTAAGTTGTTCTATTCACTTATACTTGACTTAATTTATGGATTAATTGGTTTTATTGCATTTTTAATTTTCTTTTATTTATCTCTAGCTGCTGCTTCTTCTGTTACAAGTAAGTTGTTCTATTCACTTACACTTGACTTATTACATTGATTGATTGCTTTTATTGTACCTTTTGTTTTTTAATATAGCTACAAATGTGCTTTCCAGTTTAATTAGTTAATGTAATAAGTCAAGTATTAGTGAGTAAAATAAATAAGTTGTTGTGCTCACTTGTACTTAATTTATTACATTATTTGCTTTTATTGTTTTTTTACAGTAGATTTTTTGTAAGTATTACCTTGGTACATAGTTGTATTTATATATAATTTTTTTTTCAGGCTCGAAGTCATGGGAAGAATTCAGAAAGTATCGCTCCCAGCATCCAGGCCCTCTATCTATGAGGGCCTTCCATCGCTGGTGTTTGTATGGGGACGACCATCCCTCCTTTAGATGGAGGGATGGCACCCCATACAACACGGGGAATAGAGCGGATGCTGGGAGGAGA